ACCCCTGTGACACTGCCAGGCCTCATGGAAGCCAGGGACGATTGTGACACTGGAGCCCCATGGAAACAAGAGGCCAGTGTGACACATCTGGGCCTGATGGAAGCAAGGATCCAATATGACACCACCACTGGGACACTGCAGGGCCTCATGGAACAAGGGAACAGGGAACTGGTCTGGTTGGCTTGGCCTGACTGCTCCAACTGCCCTTGGCATGTCGAGGGTCGCTTCTCTTGTACCCCTGAAACCCTGGGGCTCTGGGCTTTCCTTCAAATGGGAAAGAACTGCTCTTCTCATTCAAGCATCCATGGCCAAAATGGGATTCCCCCTCCAAAATTCCCAATATCCAGGGATTTCTCCCACATAAAAGCTGCCATTACAACCCGTCTGGCTGACCTTGTCTTCCTGAGGGCTGGGTCTCACCTGCCTTCAGACACTGGGGCTCTGTGCTTTCCTTCCTGTGGAAGAAAAGAAATATCCCTTCTGCACAAGCACCCATGACCAAAACTGGTACTTGTCCTCCAACGTTCCTGCATTCAACGGCTTTTTCTCCCAGACAAGATCTCCCAGTACAGACAGGTCTGGCTGGCCTTGGCTTCAGGTGGTTGCCTGAATTCTGCCTTGAAACACTGGGGCCCTGCCCTTTCCATCCTAAGGGAAAAGAACCATCCTTCACCAGGTGCCCATGGTCAAAATTGGGTTTCTACCACCAGAAGTCCGATATCCAATTATTGCCCCTACACAAAAGCTTCCATTACAGACAGGTCTGGCTGGCCTTGGTCTCTGCTGTCTGCAGTTCATCAGCCCCTGAAGCACTGGGGTTCTGTGCTTTCCTTCCTATGGAAAAGAATCTTCTTATTCCTCCATGGCCAGAATTGCTACTCCTCGTAAAATATTCACTATATGAAGGGTTTCTCCCAGACAAAACCTGCCAGCTCTGGCTGGCGTTGTGGCCTCTGATGGCCACTTGTAATCTACCCCTGAAACACTGGGGCTTTCTGCCTTCCTTGTGATGGAAATAGAACAGTCTCCTCATCCAGGGGCGGTGGCCAAATTTGAGATCTGGCCCCTAAATTTCATATATCCAAGGATAGGTCCCAAGCAAAAGCTGCCAGGAGAGACGAGTTTGGCTGGCTTGGCCTCCCAGGGGCTGCTTCCCATCTACCACCAAACCCTGGGGCTCTCTGCTTTCCTTCAGATGGAAAAGAAACGGCCTTTTCATCAAGGGACCAGTGGCCAAAACTTGTATTCTATCTCCCAAATTATGTGTATCCAAGGATTTCTCTCAGGCACAAGCTGCAATTCCAGAAAGGTCTGGCTCGCCTTGGCCCTTGATGGCTGCTGCTCATCTGCCCCTGAAACACTGGGCGTCTGTTTTCCTTCCAATGGAAGAGAACCGTTGTTCACATCGAAGTGCCCATGGGCAAAACTGAAATTCGGCCTAAAAAATCCCATCTATCCAAGCATTGCTCCAAGGCAAAAGTAGCCAGGACACAAAGGTCTGACTGGTCTTGTCCTGAGGTAATTTTCTTAGACTATGAGCAGAATGTTTTCATTTGCCATTACCTTGGAGAGGGCCCAGAGATCTCCCAAGGTGGGGTTTGGAGGCCTCAAGCACATGAGCACAATATAGGGACAAAGGGGCTCTGTGCTCAGTGGGGTGGAGACTGAGGACAGCAGAGAAGAATCCTCTGAGGGACTGAACGGTGGTTTCAGAGATGGTGGCTCCTTTTGACATAGTAGAGAACACACAGAGAAAGAATTAATGCAAAGGGCAGGTAGGGAGGGCCAGACAGGACCCAAAGAGAAAGGAATTTCCCTCCCAGGGCAGGGCTGTGATGCAACATTGCCCCCAGAAGGAGCCTGGGTCAGCCCAATGCTTTGTGTGGGCAGGCAGAGGCAGGCAGGAGGCAGAGCTGTCAACAAAGGAAGGGGCCAGCCAGGTGGGGCAGCTGGGGGATGCCGACAGCCTGCAGGGACAGAGGCGCAGGGCAGGGACACCGTGGGACAGCCTTGGCTGCACAGGGCACAGGCATGTGCAGCAGCTGCAAGACAGCCCTGCCAGAGCCAACTTGGGCAGCACTTTGGCCATGGCTGTTGGGCCTGGGCCTGAGGCAGGAGCAGGAGACAAGTGACCCTTGCAGGCCTGGGGCCTCATTGCCTCCTTGTCCCTGCTCAGCAGCCTGGCAGGGGCCGCCCCATGCTCCTGCCCTTGCCATTGCACATCCCCACATGCCAGTGCCCATCCTGGCAAGAGCCCTGAGCAAGGAGGGAGGGACAGCATCTGCCTGGCCAGGGGCTGGGGCTCAGGCCTGGGCCCTTTGCATTCCTCAAACACACCCAGCTTTGCTCAGCACCAGAGACACCTTGGCCTTGTTTGTCCCCAGCTGTCATCACCGCCTCCAGTGTTCTGCTCTAACTGGAACCTGGGGACACTTTCTGAATTGAGTTCCTCAGTGGGACCCATAAAAAATTCAAGAAACTTCAGAGTTTCAATTTAATTTTGAGTACTTGAGAAGTTTTTTGAAGACACTCTGAGGGACTGGTTCTGATGTAAACAACACCAAAGCCCCGAGAGGGTCATTAAAGTCCTTGTGCTGTGTCTGTGCTGCTGAGTTGGGCTGGGCTCCTGGCACAGAGGCAGCTCCTGGCAAACCAAGAAGAGCTTGACAAAGACATTTCTCCTGAGGAGCAGCTGCTCTACCAGCCCAGCAGGGCTTGGGCACTGCCTGCAGCCACCCCGGTGACAGCACAGAGGCACAGAGAGCTTCAATCAGTCAGGGCTGGGAAGGTGCTGAGAAGTGCCGGGGCAGAATCACTGCCAGCCCTTGGCACAGGAACCTCTGGCTGCAGGACAATGCAGCTGCAGCTCCTGGAGCCATCTCCTAAAGCTGGAACATCCCAATGCCTACAGACTCTGTGAGTAAATCTCTGAATATTTCTAGTGCAGGGGAGGTGAAATGCTCATGAAGTTTTGACATGCTGAGGAATGCTTTTCAGTCATAAAATATTTCCAATACAAGGATTTCCTTAAAAATTAGGACATTTCCAAAGACTTTGTATTCAGTTTTCTAATATTGGAGAATGGCAGGGAGCGGGGGCATTAATATTAAAGATTGGTTATGAATTATTAATTATGAAATTTTAAAAGTTTCTGAGACATTGGAACTGTTATTTTAGTGTTCCGTAGATTCACAGGAGATCCCTAATGTGCTTGAAGCCACTCTGCCCATGGACAGCACCAGCATCCCCTTTGCTGGACCCATCAGGCTCAGTCTGAGCTGTCCTTTGTCCCACCTGCAAACAGAACCTGCCCCAGCCAGTGCCCTGCAAACAGGCAGGGTTCTGTAGGGCCAAGGAGAGGTCACAGAGATTTGGGGTCTGTGAGTGCTGTCAGGGAGAGATCAGGCACAGGGAAACACCTGCAGGAGGGAAATCTCCAGGAAGCAGAGAGAAGATTGGGCAATGAGAGAAAACAAATCCCAGCAATGCTGTGGCAGGGAGAGTTTAGAGATGCCAAGAGGATCCCCTCCAGTGCAGCCCCTCCCTCTGAACAAGCCCCCTCCCTCCTGTGCCCCAGCCCAGCCTCTGCCCTCAGGGCCGGGGCTCCAAGGCGTGCAGCCCCTCCTGTGCAGGCAGAGCTGCAGCAGAGCCGTGGGGCAGCTCTGCAGCCCCGGGCCCAGTTCCCCCAGCAGAGCACAGGGCTGGGAGCAGCTGCCCGGCCCTGGGGGCTCTGGAGGGGGCACAGCTGGCTCAGTGTGATGCTGTCTCCAGTGCCCGGCTCTGGGCAATGCTGTCAGGGCAGTCAGGGAAGGAGCTGCATCTCCCTTCATCCAATGCCATCATAAGGACACTTGGGAGTCTCTGAGATTTCAGTCCAAGCTGGAAGCTCCAATCCAGGATGCAAACCTGTCCTGGAGCATCTCTGAGTTATAAGATTGCTGGGGAGAGGCAGAGGTATTGTGACACTGAAAATGCTGCTGGGTTGGTGAAATGAGCAATGTGAGTCCTTGGCTACAAATGTGGAGCTGGGCTGTGGTGGATCCATCTCTTCTCAGCAGTACCTGGTGACATTTTAGGGAAAACATGGGAAGATGATCACTCTCCACCAGAGAAAGGTTAAAGCCCAGAGAAACTCTGAATAGGTCAGAATGAGAGACCATGTCCTCTCATTATTTTGTCTCACAGAACTTTCTCTGTTCTCCCTGAGTGCAGAAACAATTTAGAGGGTTTCTGATATCCAGGAATACCAGGAGACAAATGGGGGGAGCTCAATCAGAAAAACCTCAGAACTCTTAAACACAGAAGCCTGTTACAGAGCTTGCAAGGGTTTTCAGGATGAAGAGAGAGACAAGAATGTTGACCTCATGTTTAGAAGGCTTGATTTATTATTTTATTATATATATACTACATTATAACTATGCTAAAAGAAATAGAAGAAAAAGTTCTCAGAAGCTAGCTAAGCTAAGAATAGAAAAGAAATGAATAAACAAAGGGCTGTGTCTCAGCAGAGAGTGAGATCCAGCTCTGCCATGAGTGGTCAATAAATCCAAACATTCGCCCAAGACCAATCACGCATCCACCTGTTGCATTCCACAGCAGCAGATAACCATTATTCACATTTTGTTGCTGAGGCCACAGTTTCTCAGAAGGGGGAAAATCCTAAAGAAAGGATTTTAATGAAAAGATGTCTGTGACAGAAGCCTGTTAATTATTAATTAAAATAATTCATGTGTGTTACAGAGGAGGGTGTATAGAAAATGGCTTTGATTTTGGTTACAAATATCTCCTCTAACCCTTCACTGTCCTTTTGTCCATGAAGAGATCCCCATCTGTAGCCACAGCAAATGTCCAACAGCAGCGCCATCAGGCACTTCCTCCTGCTGGCATTGGCAGACACGCCACAGCTGCAGCTCCTGCACTTCTGCCTCTTGCTGGGCATCTCCCTGGCTGCCCTCCTGGGCAACGGCCTCATCATCAGCGCCGTAGCCTGCGGCCACCACCTGCACACGCCCATGTTCTTCTTCCTGCTCAACCTGGCCCTCAGTGACCTGGGCTCCATCTGCACCACTGTCCCCAAAGCCATGCACAATTCCCTCTGGGACACCAGAGACATCTCCTACTCAGGATGTGCTGCACAGCTCTTTTTCTTTCTGTTCTTCATCTCAGCAGAGTTTTCCCTCCTGACCGTCATGTGCTATGACCGCTATGTGTCCATCTGCAAACCCCTGCACTACGGGACCCTCCTGGGCAGCAGAGCTTGTGCCCACATGGCAGCAGCTGCCTGGGCCAGTGCCTTTCTAACTGCTCTGCTGCAAACAGCCAATACATTTTCCCTGCCCCTGTGCCATGGCAATGTCCTGGGCCAGTTCTTCTGTGAAATCCCACAGATCCTCAAGCTCTCCTGCTCCAAATCCTACCTCAGGGAACTTGGGCTTCTTGTGTTTTCCATTTTTTTAGCTTTTGGCTGTTTTGTGTTCATTGTTTTCTCCTATGTGCAGATCTTCAGGGCTGTGCTGAGGATCCCTTCTGAGCAGGGGCGGCACAAAGCCTTTTCCACCTGCCTCCCTCACCTGGCTGTGGTCTCCCTGTTCCTCAGCACTGGCTTTTTTGCCTACCTGAAGCCCCCCTCCATCTCCTCCCCATCCCTGGATCTGGCCTTGTCAGTTCTGTACTCAGTGGTGCCTCCAACCCTGAACCCCCTCATCTACAGCCTGAGGAACCAGGAGCTCAAGGCTGCAGTGTGGACACTGATGACTGGATGGTTTCAGAAACATTGAACTGCTTGCTAGTTTCTGCAAATCACTTATAATAAAAGTAATTTTTAATAGTTATTATTTTTTTGGTTGTGGGGTTTTTTTACTTTTGTTTCATTCCATTAATCTTGTCCACACAATAGGACCATTGTTTATTGCACTTCATGTTTTTTGTTTCTCTCCACCATTGCTGTGGCCCCAAAGTGTGTCAATAAAGAGCTGTGCTCTCAGTGGGTTTCAATGAACTAAAGGATCTCCCAGCAAACTTTTCACAGGAGATCCCCCTTTTTTCCCCTTCTCTGGAGCAGCTGCAGCAATGTCTATGTGCAGAGTAGGGGCAGGTTAGGGGCAGCACAGCAGCTCTGTTCCTGCTGGCCACACCATTCCTGATCCAGGCCAGGAGCCATTGGCCTTCTTGCCCACCTGGGCACACTGCTGCCTCATGTCCAGCCTGCTGTCCATCAGTGCCCCCGGTCCCTTTCTGCCTGGCCGCTGTCCAGCCACTCTGTCCCCAGCCTGTAGCACTGCAGGGGTTGTTGTGGCCAAAGTGCAGGACCTGGGACTCGGTCTTGTTCAACCTCACCTTGTTGGATTTGGGCCCTGGATCCAGCCTGTCCAGGTCCCTCTGCAGCGCCCTCCCTCCTGCCGTCCAGCAGTACAGCACTTGCAGCCAACTTGGTCACAACAGTTCCATGAGGCCCTAGAGTGCCATAATGGTGACGCCATTACATGACTCCATGATTCCATGAGTCCATACAGGTTCACCACGGCCCCTTTGTTCTATGGCACGCCTTGGTGTCACAAAGTCCCTTGGATTCTTGTTTCCCACAGTGACACAATGGATGCTTGATTCCATGAGGTCTCACAGTGCAGCAATGCTCTCCTTGGTTCCACAGTGTCACAATGGTCCCTTGGTCTCAAGGGGCACCACGGTGTCAAACATGTTTCCTTCATTCTATGAGTCCCTGCAGAGCAACACTGGCCCCTTGGTTCCACGGGGCCCTGCAGTGTCACAATGGCCCCATCATTCTACAAGGTCCTGCAGTGTCGCAACGGCCTTCATGGTTCCACAAGGCCACACAGTGTCCCAGTGGTCCCTTGGTCCCATGAGGCCCCAGAGTGCCCCAATGGATTCCCTGGTGGTGCAGTGTCACAATGGACCCCGGCTCACACAAGATCCTGCAGTGTCACGAGGGACCCTTGTTTCCATGGGACACCAGAGTGTCACAATAGTTCTCTTATAAGCTAGTTTAGCATTAATTGACATTTGGTGAGGAGGGAAGAAGCCACCCATAGAAATGATTATTCTGAGAAGAGCTGCTGAGAGCTTCCTCTGTGCCTGAAAGCACCAATCAGTGACTGGTTTTGAAGACTGACACGTTTTTACACCACTAGAAAGCTGAACACACCTCTATGAACACACATGTTAAAAATTAACAAACCCCAGCAAAAGCTCTCTTTTCTTTCCAGCCTGGGAGCAGGTAACAAGGCCGGCCTGGCTCCCGTCTCACTGGGCCAGGCTGGATGGGCACTGCCGTGGGGCCAGGGCCCTTCTCAGGGACCCTGCCCAGCCCTGTCCCAGCAGAGCCGGGCACCAGCTGCTGCCAGGCAGGGGCAGGGGAGGCCATCAGCCTGTGGCGTGTTCCAGCTGAGATCTCAGCCATTTCCCCCCAGTGTGGACCTGCACGAGATCATGTGGCTGAGACCAGAGGCGGCCTTGTAGGCCACACAGAGAGTGGCCCTGTGCCTGGAATTGAACGCAGCAGGGGCCAGAGACCGGCCATGGGGCTGATCCTGACACAGCCCCCAGGGCAGCCTGAAAAATCCATCACCGCGATTGTTTCAGCTGCCACATGGCAGGAATCAAATGAGCATCTGCAGGCCCCAGGTGAGATATTAACTCTTTCAGTGCATAGATAAGGCTTACAGACATTCAGTCCTGCCTCGGGTGAGAGAAAAGGACAGACTGAAGACACATAGAGAACAACATGAGACATGAAGGTCAGTTAGATGAAGTCAAGTCCCAGATGGGAGGGTTGAGGAGATGCCTCAGTCCTGGGATGAAATCCTCTTGTAAGGCTATGGAGAAAATATAATTGATTCATCAGACTCTTTTTTCCTTGTAACTCATTGAAAGTATGTGGGCATGAAGTGTTCAGATTGTAGATATGAACAAAGGCATTTCTGCTAAAGCAAGCAAATGCTGAAGTAGCTGTGATCCCATGAGAAGTTTGAACAGAAGGAGAGAGGATTGATGAAGACCGTTTGCTCACAGGGAAAGAAGAATACCTCTGTTCCCACTGATGAAGATGATGGCAGAGACAGATAAAGAACCTTTGCTCTTGAACAGCTCATACGTAAAATTAATACCTCATAACTTGACACAGCTCACAAACACAGCTTTGGGAAGGCTGTGAAAAAAGTGGGAGGGACTTCACAATTGCAGATTCCAGGGCAGCTGCTGTTCATGAAAATTAAAACCCACGAGAGAACTGTTTTCTTGTGGAAAAGTCTCCATAAAATGACAAGAGGGATTCCTCTCCCTAAGTGAACTGAAGAAAGGCTATTCTAGAGCTGATAAATTGACTGAATTGTTTCTGTATGTTGTTAGTGGGAAAGAAAAGGTTGTAGGAGAGAGGAGAAGGGTTCTAAAAGTTTTATTCTGATAGTTACTATTTTTCCTTTTAGTTAATATTAATAAAGTTTTCTTTAGGCCCTTTTAAAGTCTAAGCCTGTTTTGCCTTCCTCCTAATCCTATCTCGCAGCAGAAAATGAATGACTATATTCTAGTGGGTGCACTGACATTGAGCCAGCACTGAACTCACCACACCTTAGTTCCACCAGTCCCTGCAGTGTCACAATGGCCCCTTGGTTCCATCGGGCCCAAGGGTCTCACAAGGCTCTCCTTGGTTCCATAGTGTCACAATGGCCCCTCAGTTCAACAACGCCCTGCAGTGTCACAGTGGCCTCCATGGTTCCACGAGGACCCAGAGTGTCACACTGCACTCCTTGCTTCCATTCAGCCCCACAGTGCCACACTGGGGCCTTGGTTCTGTGGTGCCTTCAGTACACAGTGTCACTGTGATCCTCTTAGTTCCACAAGGCCCTGCAGTGTCACAATCATCACAGAATCACAGAATTAACCAGGCTGAAAAAGGCCTTGGAGATCAGCAACTCCACCCTGTGACCCAACACCACCTTGTCACCCAGACCATGGCACCGAGTGCCACATCCAGTCTTTGCTTAAATGCCTCCAGGGACAGTGACTCCACCACCTCCCTGGGCAGCCTCTTCCAATACCAAATCACCCTTTCTGTGAAGAACCTATTCCGAATGTCCAGCTGAAATGTCCCATGGTGCATCTTAATGCTGTGTCCTCTTGTCCTGTCACTGTTCCCTGGGAGAAGAGCCTGACCCCCCTGGCTGCACCTTCCTGTCAGGGAGTTGCAGAGAGTGATGAGGTCTCCCCTGAGCCTCCTCTTCTCCAGGATAAACAACACCAGCTCCCTCAACCATTCCTCAATAAATTTCTGTTCCTCCCCAGCCTTGTTGCCCTTCTCTGGACATGCTCCAGCCCCTCCATGGCCTTCCTAAATTGGGGCCCAGAACTGGACACAGCACTCGAGGTGTGGCCTCACCAGTGCTGAGTGCAGGGCAAGAATCACTGCCCTGCTCCTGCTGGCCACACCATTCCTGATCCAGGCCAGGAGCCATTGGCCTTCTTGCCCACCTGGGCACACTGCTGCCTCATGTCCAGCCTGCTGTCCATCAGTGCCCCCAGGTCCCTTTCTGCCTGGCTGCTGTCCAGCCACTCTGTCCCCAACCTGTAGCACTGCAGGGGTTGTTGTGGCCAAAGTGCAGGACCCGGCACTTGGTCTTGTTCAACCTCACCTTGTTGGATTTGGGCCCTGGATCCAGCCTGTCCAGGTCTCTCTGCAGAGCCCTCCTACCCTCCAGCAGAGCCGCACTCACACTCAGCTTGGTGTCATCTGCAAATTTGCGGATGCTGGACTCAGTCCTCTCATGCAGATCATCAGTGCAGATATTGAAATCCACACTGGCTGGCTCTGATCCCTCAGCCATCCTGTGGGTGCCCTGTGATGGCACTCAAGGTGATCTGTTCCATAACCTTGCCGGGCACCCAGCTCAGGCTGACAGGCCTGGAGTTGCCCAGCTCCTCCTTCCAGCCCTTCTTGGGGATGGGCTCACATTGGCACCTCCAGTCCTCTGGGACCTCCCTGCTGAGCCAGCACTGATGGTAAATGATGGAGAGCAGCTTGGGGAGCTCATCCACCAGCTCCCTCATCCCTCTGGGATGGATCCCATCTGCTCCCAGAGACACCTGTGAGCATCTGAGTGGCTCAGCAGGTCCCCAGCTGCTTCCTCCTGGATTACAGGGGGGCTGTTCTGCTCCCTGTGCCCTTCCAGCAGCTCAGGGTGCACTTGTCCTGTGCATAACTTCACTTATTGTTGAAAATTGAGGCTAAGAAGGGGTTCAAGTACCCCAGCCTTTCCCTTGTCTTTAGTTACTCTATTCCCCACTGCATCCAACAATGAATAGAGGTTCTCCTTACACTTCCTTTCGCTATTAATTTATTTACACTAATATTTTTGAATATTTTTCACCAAAGTGTTCAGGTTAACCCCTAATTGACGTTTCACATTTCCACTTTTCTTTCTGCTTGGCCTAACAACATTCTAAAACACACCTGAGTTTCCAGACATTCTTTCCAAAGGTGATGCCCCCTCTTTTTTCCACTGAGTTCCCACAAAAGCTCCATGCCCAGCCAGGACAGTCATTTTCCTCGCTTGCTCATCGTTTGGCACAGAGGGACAGGCTGCTCCTTCCCCTTAATAATTAGATTCTTTAAGTGTGTCCATCTTTCCTGGACACCTTTGTTTAGGCTGTTTTCTCTTTAAAAATCAGTACCTGACTGAGTACTCTCCAAATCTGCATCCCAAGCAGGCCAAGGTCTGCCCTCTCTCATTCCAGTGTAGACATTTTGTTGATGCCACTCCTTCTTTCACAGGATGTTGAAAACTCTGTTATTTCATGGCCACTGTGCCCCAGGCAGCCTCCAACCACCACATCTCCCACCAGCCCTTCTCTGTTTGTGACCAGCAGGAGACTGAGCTTTCCTTGGGAGTGGGACTGTTACCAAAAATTCAGTAAAATAGAAAAATCCATAATCCCAATGTAGCATTAAGAAGCAGCATTCTTTATTTGGCCAGATGCACAGGGGGAGAGCTCCTCCCAAAGCCGTGCATGCTGAGTGCTGGAAGGTTTCTGTTTATATTCTGTATTTTGCACACATATTCATGGATCGTCCTGGACTAAACACACATCTGATAATCATTTCCCCAAAGTCATTAACATATTTCCCCTCCCCTTTACCCATGCATTCTCCTGTCCTGGGGGTCTCTCTGGTGGTCCCTGGTGCTCATGGACCCCAATGTTCCAGTGGGCCTGGCTGAGATGGCAGGACACTGAGGCTGGTGAATTTCAGTTCCCCTTCTCACACAATGGGCATTGTGTGGTTTCCAAAGGCCTGGGGTTTTAGACAACCAGCATTGTGAGTGCTCACCTGGTGTAGACAATTTATCATCTGGTAACATGAGGTCACAGAGTGGGCTATGACATCACAGAGTGGGTTATGACATCACAGAGTGGGTTATGTGAGGTCATTGAGCAACCACGGCACCATAGACTGTCTCTGTGACATCACAGAGCCAGGTGTGACATCACAGAGCAGAGGACTGACATCACATAGCAGACTATGGCATCACAGAGTTGGCTGTGACATCAGAGGCCAGCTGTGTGACATCAGAAAATGGGTTGTGACATCAGAGAGTAGGCTGTGACATCATGGGGGGGGTAGCTGTGTGACTTCACAGAGTGGGTTGTGGCATCAAGGACCAATGTAGCGATATCAGAGAATAAACTATGACATCACAGAGAAGGCTGTGACATCACAGGAGGGCTCTGTGAGGTCACTGGGTTGGTCACTCTGCCCCAGCCCGCCCTCACAGTTTTCCCCCGGAAGTCCAAAGCTGTTCATGCCCAGCAGGGTCTCTGTCCCTGGTATCCCTCTGGTTCACCTGGAGCTGCAGCCTCCCACAAGGATGTTCCTAAAGATCAACTCCAAAACCTGACACAGAGACAGGGGACTGGGCTGTGTGACCAGCACATCAAGGACATGGATTATCCAGGTCACTGGGGCCTGGTTTGGGGTCCCCAGGGCAGGAAAGATGTCTGGCAGCTGGAGCAGGGCCTGGGACGGGCCTCCAAGGTGGGGCTGGAGCCCTTGGGCTGTGAGCAGAGGCTGAGGGAGCTGGGCTTGTCCAGCCCAGAGCAGGGAAGGCTGAGGGGCTCCTCATCCAAGCCTGGCAGTGCCAGCCAGGAGGGGATGGAGAACACAGAGCCAGGCTCTTCACCGGGGGGCCTGGGGGGAGACAAAAGCCAATGGGTGGAAGGGGAAAGAGGGGAGATCAGCCAGGACAGGAGGAGATGAAATGAGTCAGGCTGGTTTCAGCATTTCCTCAACACCAAAAGCAGCCTGAGCCCCTCCTCCATCCACTACTGACAGCTTTGCAAATTAGGAATTGTTCAGGCCATTTTATCCCCACTTCAGGATGAGCATCCTGATACAAAAATTTAATTCTATTTACATCTATCACAGAACCATATTTTTCTTAATTTTAGTATGGAAATCACTTGTGGAT